TCCTGTCAATCCTAAAGACGAAGGGCATCTCAGGAATCGCACTCCAATGCTTCAAGCCTTACCTCTCAGGTAGGTCCTTTAGGGTGTCGTGGAGAGGTGAGGTGTCTTAGTCGCAACATCTAGCTACTGGGGTGCCTCCTCTTGGGCGTGGTCTAGCAGAATATCCATGGCTGACATCTGTGCAGCGGCCGGTTGGTCCTCACCGTCCACCTTTATCAGGTTCTACAACCTAGACGTCCCGGCCCTTCAGGCAAGGGTTCTGTCGGTCTAGACCGGGCTCCATCTTCAGGGGGGGTTTCTAAAATAGCCATACCTTCAAACGGTCACCATTTCTGGACATTCTAAGTCCTTGATTCTAGTAGCCTGCCTGTGGCCCTTCACACTTTCGTGGTTCAGACGGACTACATAGCCATTTCTGTGCGACTTAGGCAGCCGGCTCTGTCCATTCTGGCAGACAGAAAGGCCATTTGTCTCTGAAATTCACAGACGTGAACCAATCAGGCTTCAGTATTCTAAGAAAATGGAATTTCCCAATAACGTAGAGATAATCTCTGACGCAATGCTTATTCCTGTCATTTCAGTGAACCGAGGATACGCTAGTAACCGGAGTTTTTATTTGAGTCACATTTTAATATATCTCCGATTGTGTTTGGCTGAAAGAAGAAAATCATATACATGGCTTGAGGCCGGGTGAGTGAATTATGGGATAAATTTTCATTTTTGGGTGAACTAATGAAATATAAAGAGGGACCATCTAAAACAAAGACTAAACCTTTTTTTTTGGCTTGTTTGAGAATATTTTATTCACACAGCACATACTACAGGAGTAGATAGATTCTGAGAACAGCGCAGTGTACTACTGACAGTTGATAAGGAGAGAAAACTCTATCAGTCATGTTTAGAAAAATAGTGTTGTTAAAAAAGTATAAATTAGACCTACAGCTGAAACAACTCAATACACCAAATCAGAAAAATGCCTGTCAAAGACAAATGTAGGCTGGACTACAATGGGAAGAAAAAAAGAAAAAAACCTTCTCAGACAAACAATGAGTGATACTAATAATTGTTGTACATCCATAAATAGTTGTGATTTAAACAGTGTTTTATACTTTCAGAGATTAGTATTTGTCAACACAAACTTGACTGCTGCTCAAGAGCATTTAATCAGTTTTCATGTTTCCCCAGAAATGCACACATTCGTCCAGGAAAGAAAAAAGAAAAAAAGACAGGAAAAAAAAAAGTAAAACCTTCATGAAGTCCGACATATTCATAGACTGAGTTTATCAAAATAGTTGAAATGTTTGATTAGAAAACAGAGGTAAGATGTTTTGAGACTCTTTGCAAAGACAGATTTCTGAGACACTTTTGCCCTCTTGTGGTGACAGAGAAAGACGACAATATTCAAAAGCAGCTGTTTATATTTCTGGGCCAGGTTTATCAAAATAGTTTTTACATGACCATATGACCATTTCTGCACATGCTAGCCGGTATCATCATCTGTATTTCGGGTTATGTGAGATACCAAGTCTGATCAACATGCATCCCTGCTCCATTTTGTATGAACTAAATTCTTAAAGTCACCATGAAATACATTTTTTTTTATGGAACATTGCAGTGTTTTATATAAATTATCCGCACATGTGCCTCGTAACCAACGTAACTTCCCCTCCCTCTTGCAGCGACATTTCTTCTCTGATAAAGTGTTTACTGGCGCGAGGGCGGGGCAACCTGTCACTCACATGAGATCCACCAATAGCAAACCACAAACCATCCAATCAATTCCCCATTGACAAAATCAAGCCCTGGCCTTTTTTTAACCCCGTTCCAGAAGCCGTTTCACTCGGATAGTCACAGTAGGAAAGAAATGACTATTGCAAATTCTGTTTCATGCTAACTTTAAGCAATTCAGGCCCTACGGCTACGTTCAAACAATGGCTACGAACACATTGGAGCTAAATACGGTTGTTATTCCTTTGTTGAGTGCTTTGTGTTGGAGCCAGACTGACAGACTCCTACTTTGAAAATAATGACTGGAACGATGCTAAAAGTCAGACATCAGTCAACCAAGATCTATTATCTCGGTCTTATTAAAAAGATATTTCAAAGATGGCGGAGACAGACGAGCATAGTAAAACATTTAAGTTATAGCCTAAGGCAATATACAAAGATTCCTTTACTTTTTTGTTTCCACTTGTCGTTTTAAAGATAACCCTAGCATTTAGTGCTGAGGTCTTCAACCTTGCTCCTGGAGACCCACTGCCCTGCAACGTTTAACTCCACTTTTGGACATTCACTCATGAACTTCCCTATGCACTTCCAATGCCGCCATTTTGAAGTGCGTTCAACTTCGTCAAGTGGACGAGGGAAGTTTATTTGAACAGACCCATGACCCCTTGATTTTCAAAGAGGGAGTGAGTCTACTCATATGTACACTTCAGGCAGATCCATAGACCACAATGCATCACGATTGCAAGGTAAAATGACTTGCGTCCGTCCGAGTGAACAAGATGGGTGGAAGTGAGCGAGGCAAGGGCATAAAAAAGTGGACTTTAACACTGCCTATATCCAACCTGCTTACGCTTGTGATTTTCAATGATCCTGAAGAGCTTGATTAGCTGGTTCAGGTGTGTTTGATTAGGGTTGGAGCGAAACTGCAGAACAGGGTTGAAGACCTCTGATTTAGTGTTCATGACTTTTTTGGCATGTGAACATGAAATATTCATGTTGGTTCATGGCACCATCTTGTGGTGTAATGTGTCCTGTGATTCACATTGAGGTCAGAAGCAAGAAATTTCAGTTGTCACGTCTGAGTTCATCTGAAACGCAGTAATAATCCACTCTACAACTGAAAAATCTCAGGTATTGACAACAGCATTACCATTAAATCCAAATGGTATGCACAAAAAAAGAAACGAACAACTTGGTAAAGAGGTACATGTTTTGACTCATTCGCACATTTTGACAAGTCTCTCTCTCTTCGGCAAAATAAACCTAAAAAAGAGCATGCCATTTAAAACCAGCAGCTTCACGAGTATTAAGAAAACACCAAGCGCCTTTGTCAATGGTGGTTTAGTTAAAATTGCACAATATTGTGTGTCTTTGGTCGCTAATCTTTGGTCAAACATAGCGGACACCAAATAGTTTAAACTCTTGTTATACATGTTTCTTGTTCACAATCATGAGACCAAAACGAGTGTTTGCTATGGTTATCTCAGTCAATTCCAAAATGTCGGGGTGCGTACCTCAAGCGTTTGGGATTAACAACCGTATTTGGTGTGACTTTTCAAATTGTTTTGTACCAACAACAGCAGAGCATAACGACAGGTAACCGAAGTCAGTCCCCGTTTAGGCATGCAAATATCTTCAAGATTTTGTATTTACTTGAAACGATTCATATATGTGGTCAAAAACTCTTCAGTTCTGTTGTTCCCCCTTGTAGACTTTAGTCCCTCTCTGTCCCACCACACGATACCATTACACATAACCTGAGAGGTCAACGGGCCCAAGCGCACACCTCATGCTAAACCCATTTCAGTGTGATTGACAACTACTTGACTGCTGTTTTGTTCGTTTAGCACACATAACTGAACTCTCAATTTGGTTGTGACTCCTGAAAATCTGAGTTAATCCCTTTTGTAACAGAATGCGGTTCTCACTCTTTTATAACTGATCAGTGAATGAACGGAACCAGATTTAGCACTCAAAACAGGACTGACAACTGTATTCTGCTGTTGTGTGAACGTAGACTATACGTCTGTAGATCTCTGCCACTTTATTAAAGATAAAAAACTCTTATATTGTCTGCATGCATATCTGTATACTCACATAAAGATGTTCAAGGCATTAACAAGACAAACTATATAATACTAAATTACACCTTTCCTTGGAAAAACTACTGCAAAATACTCTTGAAGATCATTTATTTTATCATGGAAGTGAAAATTGTTACTTCTGTTCGTTGACTAGAACAATATTGAAATAAACAGTTGTTCAAAGGCAGTGGAAATTTATGAGGGCGAAACAGTTATGAGGAAGTATGAGTTTTATGAGATAACTCTACAAATTTGTATGGAAACGGCAATTATTCACAATGACAAACTACTTTTAAACGATACTTTGGTCCTAATCTAGGCATAGTTTTCTCTAGTTAATGTTATCTCTAATCTAATTACCTGCTGAAGATAAATGAGGAAAATAAGAGAAATCCAGTGCATAAATGAAATATTTGTTTAGCTTTATCCTCTTAAAACGCATTCAAACAATAATGCAATCAGCTGCTTCTGTTCAGCGAGGTTCGTACTGAGACAGTGAGAGACAGACAGTTTCTGCATTTCATAGCCCTATTCCCACTTTTTCAGAAAAAAAAGATCAGGAAAAAAAAAAGAAAAAGAAAAAAAAGATAATCAGATCAACTGGACCAGAACTTTACACAACATCAGATCATTCCCATACACTTCCATAACCCAATATCATTGGAAATCCAATCTTGGGGTTTAAGTGGCCGTTTCAGGTATTGCAGATTGTATTGTAGAAGGAAAAGATCCCAGTGAGCTGTAATGGGGAAAAAGGTTGCTACAAAGGTGCAAGGCATCGAAGTCAGCTTGAGAGTATAACTTCTGCTACGTAACATTTATTGCAACGTTATTGTGAGAACTGACAAAGAATTAAAATAAATAATTGCAAAACAGTTTACTTATGTGTGACCCAAGTATAAATTTGAGTTCTGCTGAGCTAAAACTCCTGAGTCTGAACAAGAGCTTAACACACTCAAACCGGTTAACTGAGATTATTGAATCAGGGCCTGCCTAAGACAAGACTTACACCTCTACAGCTTGACCTGCCCACTGATAAACCGCTAAAGAGAGGTATTGTTCAGCTGTCACAGCAAAGAGTGTTTGTGGTTTTCATAAAGGCGTAGTTGAAAATAAAATGGCTTTTTCTAAGTACCCCGTTTTTTCCTTCTCTAGATGGAAAGTTGAAAAAGTAATTTCAATAATCCATTAACTGAATTTCAGATGGGTTCACAGAAAGAAAAGAAGGATGGACGAACCACATACTGTTAAAAACATCACAATTTTAAGTGGTAGTTCAACCGAAACATCGAAAACACAAGTTCACATCCGTGTCCACGGGCAGACTGTATTTTCATCGAGTTGCTCTGTTGTCCTTGCCAAAGCCAAGCTATGGACTGAGGGGGTGTTTGAGAATTAATTGTCAATGTACCTTTCCTTTGTAAATCTCTATCATGTGCCACATTGATAGACACTTACGGTAAATCAAGATTTTCGGAAGGGGTAAAGAGAAGTGACGGTACATCTGCTTCAAAAAGTCTCCATTTCAAACAGTCTATGGTGCCATTAGCTGAAAGCCCTGAGCCGTCTCAAGCAAAATTACTCTTGAGGAAGACCAGCTTGTTCATCTCCTCCGCAGAGACCTGCTGCTTTTTCTTCATGGCTAAGGTCTGCTCGCAGATGCTCACACACTCCCCATGCACAGCTACAGCCGGTACAGCCAACAACCACAGCGCTAACCGCGACAGCCTGGGGTATCTGTCCATGACCGAACTCCAGTACTGCAGCAGGTCACCTGTGCCACTGAACAGTGGCTCGCCGAGGTACTGGAACAACTCTTTTCGTACCTGTGGCTCTTCAGCATCACACGATGGCCTCTCTAATCCACAGTCCAGACGGCCACGCTTGGGTGCTGACAGCCCTTCGCCATCCCGCTCGTCCACAGAGGTACCTCCAGAACCACCGCTCCCCACATCCCTCATATTAGCAGCCATGTCACACACCCTTGAGATAATATCCTCGTGCTGGTACGCGGGGACTGGCCGCAGCTTCAGCTGCGGATCCAGGATCATTGCAACCTGATGGATACGTTCCACTTTGAAGTTCTCCTTCAGGGCTTCTAGGAAGTAGTGGCAAAGCTTACTGCCAGCACCCACTTCACCGGCTTTAGAGGTGAAAAGTTTTTCAAGACGGAGGTAGACGGGAAGGACGTGTTGGATCGTTGGGGAGCGTTCCACACTCAGCTCCTGCGCTGCCTGTCTTAGCGGCGCAAGCAAACACGCAAGCGTGCCAAGAAGGTGCTTATTCAGGCCTTGCAATAGTGGCACTGTGCTCTTCGAACGGCCATACGCTTCGCAAGTGGCCTCGAAGTTCTCGTGAACCTTGAGCAAAGCCTCCGCGACTGAATCCCAACAGGGCGGAGCAGTAGACTCTTCCCCAGCTTTCCCTTCATTACTGAAGCTGGTCGTTGCAGCAATGTCGCGACACGTAGCCAGAAGCTCACCTAGTTCATGGAGCCCTCGTGCTTGCAGGCTGCGACGACCGAGAACAGCCTGAACCGTGGCTGTTAGAGAGCACCCTGCGCAGCGAAGGCCAACTCCGGTGCGACCGCAAAAGGCCAGCGAAGACAAGCGCGGCTCTGTCACGTAGACTGTACGGATTTCTGACATGACAAACTCCGACAGAACATTCTGGACCCAGTGGTGTATCTGCTCAGGACTTTCCCTTAAAGAGGCCTCCTTGAGTCCCAGCACATAGCGTCGGAGTCGCACACCCTCTACTTGATACGCTGTAAGCAAATAGCAGGAGTCTGGTCCTATAGTCTGAGAATGGCAGGTCACTGCAATGCCCAAGGAAGAGTTGGAACCCAGTGCGCAGGTGACTTTCACTTTGACCTGATTGTACATACGGGGGAGCTGTTTTAATGCCAGCGAGCTCATATCTCCCAGGGCTTCACGAATGGAGTATGCCCCATTGCGTGAACCCGTGTCCACCAGGGTCTGCGCAAGTTTTAGGAAGTCTTTGCTGCTGAGTACGCCAAGAAGGCCAAGGTCTACGCACATTACTCTCAGTAGACGTTCAGCCACTTGTTGTCTCTCCTTTTCTGGGAGTAATCTGTTCTCTGCAAAAGCAGAACAAGACAATTGAATTAGTTATCTCGACAAGTTAAGTGACCGTAAGGTCATCCATACATAACAGCAACAGTTGCAATCCATCATATGAAAACAAAAGTACAGTAAAATATTGCTGGGGCACATACAAGAGTACCACAAGATACCTAGGAAGGATATATATGGCATTTTTGCATCTGTAGATAAATCTTGAAAAGTGTGTGTTGTGGATTAATCCGAGTCACCTCAGATTATTACATATGTCGAAAATCAATAAGGACACCTACATTAAAGTTGCAGTAAGCAATTTCTGAGAAACACTGTTGATTTTTGATACAAACCCAAACAAGCACACCCCTCGTTTCATTGCTCCTCCCCCCAAATGCACAAACACATAATGCAAGATTGGATGTCTCTTTATAATAGCTGAAGCAAAGCAAAAATGTAAGTATATAGTACTAGTACAAGTTTATACAAGCAATTCAGTATTAGCCGCCAGCAGCTCGTATAGGCTATCAAACATTATTACACGTGTATTGGAATGGTTTTATTTAGAATAGTTCAGTATAAATAAAATGTTCAAGCAAAACAGAACACATTTAGACCTATAAGGTTGTTAGTCCCTGCTCAATATGATAGTTTTACCTTACAAATTCTACATTCTGCCTTTATGTTGTCTATTAAATTGCATCCAAATGCTACTTCATTTGCGTTTGTTACTCAATCTTGTTTTCTGACCCGATATTAAGGATGATCTTTTCACCAAACTGCTCGACCACACGCACTCCATGCAGTGACTTTAGTGTGTGTTATGTTAATCTGTAGCCAACTGTATGTGCGTGAGACGAATCGAGAGCGCCGGGGAAATGTCATCACACGCGATGGCACGCACATACACATCAAAATAACATTCATCTAGTGACTACTTGACATATTATATGACTGAGCAGTGTAGTGAAAGAATAATCATTCAGACGGGAACCGACTCTCACGTTTACTTAAAGGAGCCGGCATATAGAGTCGAACGACACATCACTACGGTTTCCGCTGATGGGGTTTAATTTACTGTTGGTTACTAGGTTACCAATACCACCATCATCCGCTTGAACAACTTGATGGAAAACCCTAATTCGCATTTGGTTTTTATGCAAACTTTAAAAAGATTAACTTGGAAACCCAGCTACTGACATTCAAAACTGTCCTGTTACTATAGCTAACATTACAACAACAGCATATCTTGGTTTGGTACTCATGTACAGAGCAGATATAACGCAACCTCAGCATCTTCATACAGGCCTTCCTGCTTAGGTCGCTCAAGCACTGGAAAGCTTTTCTAATACATTAACGCGGTTCCTAAAGCTTTTGCCAGTTCATAACCCTTCTTTTCTAGTGATATTGATCTGACCTTTTCTCTTTTGTAATGTCTCTCAACCATCTCTCTTTCTACAGTCCTTCTTCAAATCTCCCGCTTGCTCACTCTCTCTCCTCCACCACCATGAGTGGACACGCCCCCAACTGCTGATTGACTCACTATCTTCCCCCATAATGAGTGGACACACCCCCTACTGCTGATTGGCTCACATTCTCTCTCCTCCCACGTCATGAGTGGGCAAGTCCCCTACTGCTGATTGGCTCACTCTCTCCTCCTCCATCAAGAGTGGACACGCCCTCTACTCCTGATTGTCTCTCTCTCTCTCTCTCTCTCCTCCCCCAGCATGGACACACCCCCTACTCCTGTTTGGCTCTCTCTCTCTCCTCCCCCATCATGCGTGGACACACCCCCTACTGCTGATTGGCTCACTCTCTCTCCTCCCCCATCATGAGTGGACACGCCCCCTACTGCTGATTGGCTACTAGTGTGTTTTGGTGCATGGTCCGATCCACTTTCCGCAACTTTTCTCAGAAATTGCTTACTGCACCTTTAATTTACTTTGGAACAAACTAACTTTAACATCAACACTTTTCACTGAAACATTTTCCTGAATGAAATGAGTGCGAATGGATTCTGGTAGTGGTGGTAGGAAATAACTCACGAAAAGACGGTGGTACGTGGTTCCTCTGTTGTGCCGGCTGAGGAGATTTCCACATCTGCTCCTGTGTGGCCACAGGCGCTTGGGAAGGCTTCGGAGAATCATCTTTAACATGGTTCTCATTATCAGCTAAAGGGGGAATAAAAGGAATAAAGACAACACGTTATGTACTCATTCTTGGAAAAAGTGAAGGTATTCAATGAAAACCAACAAGAGAAATACACTGAGGTGAAAACAACTTACAACTCAGAAATTAGAATGATTAATTGATCAAGGTCCAGAAAGAATAGAGTTGATTTTGACAGAAAGTCTGCATATTTGACTTGTGCATTATAAAATTAACCAACATATTTCATAGATATATAGATTTTCCATAGATTTTTAGTTTGAAACCAATTAATTTGAAAGAAACTGAATCTGGTAAACCACATTTTCTTTCTTTTCACAGCAGACATTTCCATGACTTTTCCTGGCCTCGAAACACAATTTTCACCTAGAAATGAAAATGTTGTCATCATTTACTCACCCTCATGTCGTTCCAAACTTATTCTTTTCTTTTCTTCTGTTGAACACAAAAGAAGATATTTTGAAAATTGTTTCAGCTGTTTTTGTCCATATTATAAGTCAATTTGACTGAACGTTCATCTCCGAAATCAAAGTAAAGGTAGTGTGAAATTGATCCACATAGTCTTCTGAAGTGACAATCACTTTAACAGATTTTTAAACATCAATGTAAGCTTTTATTCACTCCCAAATCAAATCTTTGATCAATGCAAGCATACAATCAAATATGGTGACAAAAAACCTTGCCATGTGATGTGCGAGAACCAGGTTTGGCGTTAGCTGAGATTTGAGGTTGCCATATTTGTTGGTGTATGTGTGCGTTTGTGATGATCAGTGTTTTGATTTATAAATTGAGGCATACATGTCTGTTTGGCTTGAAAGCTTGAACATTTAAGGGGTCCATTGACTTTCATAATAACAAAAACAGCTGAAACATTCTTTAATATATGATAATATATCCTCTGTGTTCCGCTGAAGAAAACATCATAGAAGTTTGGTATGACACAACAGTGTTTAAATGATGAATTTTATTTGGGTGAAATATTTTGTGATGACAGTGTTAAACAAAATGGCAATGTCGGGAGTGTGAGCTTGAACAAATGAAACGAGAAAAAGTTTTTAATGGAGTTGCGCAGGCGCAGATTCATGCACGTCTATGAATAAGTGATGTTAAGATAGTTAACAGATGTAAAAAGCACATGATGGACACAAACTCAATATGCACTGCACACATTATACGGTCTGTAAAATTGTGCCCTTTGCATTGAACCGTCCGTTACCCAAGTGGTGATGCAAAGAAATAACGTCAACAAAACGAGTCCAAATTTGGATGAGCTCAAAGCTGAAAATGTTTTTCATTTTCTGGGCTCACTCACCAGCGTGGGACTGCATGTGCTCCAGGAGGTTGTTGTAGAACTGGAACTGAATTCCACAGGCTCCACACGTGTAGGTTTCTGGAACGAAACGTCCAGTTTCTCTCAGAACACAGAAATGTTCTCATAACAGAGCCTCACATCAGAGCACTACATACAGCTAACACATTTAGGTCAGCATCAGGCATTCAGGAAAAAGGTTTTTACTTCAAGGTTAAGATACCTGCAATGTTTGAAAGCCATGCAAATGGCATAAAAATGGGCATGAGTGAGGTCAGTCATGATTTACAAAAACAAAAAAATGGACTATATGGAGCATGAAATGAGTGATATCAAGTGAAAATGAAAAAGGTAAAACTGATTTCCACAATACATACTCTGAGGGCTGGGGAGGGAAGCATAGGTCCGGCTGTTTGGAGTATCTGGAAGACAAATAATTCATGTCTTTTTTTTATTTATGATGAGTACACTTCCATGCAAAGTGCAACACTGGGACTGGGTTCAATAATACCATGGCCCAAAATGTATTAGGACACTCAAGTCGGACATTAAAGGGATAGTTCACTTTGAAATTAATTTTTGGTATGTTTTAGCTTACCTCAAGGGCATCCAAGATGTAGGTGTCTTTGTGTCCACAGTAGTTTAAATTTTGATATTTTTAGGTCAAACCGTTCTTGTCTGTCAGTCATATAATGCAGGTCTATGGTCACCACCTCAAAGAGCATGCACAGAGAAGTCCAAATTAAACATGATTTAATGACTCGTAAATGTAAGTACACATTAATGGCCTAAGACACAAAACGAGCGGTTTGTGTGAGAAAACGAACAGTATTTATATAGTTTTTACCTCACAGCCACGTCCGAGTGATCTGAGGGCGCTGGCGCTTCGGTCTTTTCCGGAAAGCACCGGAAGTGATCTCTCGCGTGTGTACGTCACTCATACAATTGTTTTATTTTTTTACGACGGTTTAAACATCCCGGATAAGCGCAAATTAGTACCATTTTAATTAGCCGTCTTACCTACAATCTCTGTTCTGTGTAAACAATGAGTGACGTACACGCGCGAGAGATCACTACCGGCGCTTGCCGGAAAAGACCGAAGCGCCGGCGCCCTCAGATCACTTGGACGAGGCTGTGTTTACAAGAGGTAAAAACGATATAAATACTGTTCGTTTTCTCACACAAACCGCTGGTTTCATGTCTTAGGCCATCAATGTGTACTTACATTTACGAGTCATTAAATCATGTTTAATTTGGACTTCTCTGTGCATGCTCTTTGAGGTGGTGACCATAGACCTGCATTATATGACTGACAGACAAGAACGGTTTGACCTAAAGATATCAAGATTGAAACTACTGTGGAAACAAAGACACCTACATCTTGGATGCCCTTTAGGTAAGCTAAAACATATCAAAAATTTATTTCAAAGTGAACTATTCCTTTAAGCCTACAGTATTATTTGATCAAATTTCTAAGGAATCTAATGGTGCGTTCACGTGCTATGGTAATTATGGTAAATACCAAAAGCCGACACCCCCACATGTGGTATTTTCCACTGGGCAGCTCGTAGAATATTTTGATGCACGAGTTGCCGAGATGAGATAAACTTTGACCTTTTCAAAATGGCGGAGAGCAACGCGAGAGTCGTGAATGGTAAAAATCATTCATGATCTAGAAAATATAGGCCTACAGCATATTATTTACCGTTTGAGTTTTGATAAATCATCTGCTACAGCAAGAAAATGATTTAAGCAATCTAAAATAGTTTTAGCTAAATAACAGGTCTGGATCTCCATCTTTTTACCACATTACGACAACAAAAGCAATTGAACGCAACACACTGGTAAATACCAGTTCACAAGTGGAAAATATCATATTTTCCATAGCACCATAAATTATCAACATGATCAAACATGGTTATTCCAGTAATCTACTACATGTTCTGTTGTTTGATTGATAAATCATACCTTATAGCAAGTTAAAGTGCAGTCTAATTATAAAAACGTCCAAATTCAGCTTGTGGTTCATGTCTGTTTGCTGTGAAATCTTCACTTATTTTTATAAAGTAAATGTAATAAGAATAACATATTGCCAGTAATATGTCAATATGTAGTAACGTACAAATACATTACATTTGTTTTTAGAAAATCACATTCAATCGTGAGTCTCAAATATGATCATGGTTCATCTCTCAATCATTGTATTGCATTGAGTTATGTTTTGAAATTTTTATGCAAGTATCAGCTAATGTCCGCAACTGCACAAAATTGCACATTTTTACTCTGTTTGAGACTAAATAAATTCAGGGTGTTTTTTCCGGCGTTTGAGTTGCATATTCTCACTATATAACACAATACGAGATGAGTCATAAAAGCCTGATGCATTAAAAATGCACTTTTTTTTGGTTGATTTTGTCTAAATGTTCAATAAACCCTGAAAACAGGGCAGGATATTAAGCGGGAGTCGGTCTCATTTTTGTGTTGCGTGTACATTATTCTCTACTGTAGTTCACTCATGATAATTCGCTGCTGCGATGTACTGGAGGCTTTTCCAGCTTTGATCAAACCCATTTTCTTTGACACTCGTATTTGAACAGTTGAAGCTCATGTTTATATAATTTCATTTTCTAGTTTGTAGAGATGTAGCTCCAGTTAAAAGTATTAGACAAGTCTGTCAAATGGTGTGCCGTCTTCTGATCTTTTAGTCTGATTTTAATGGCAAAGCAGTTTGTTTTATGAATCTGCTGCAATGCAATACAGCCCTGGCAAATTAATAGTGGAGAAGCACATATTATATTGGACAGCGCAGCAAACCCACAACCGGTAGGCAAATGATGTTACAAAATGAAAAAGGTCACCCAATCATAACAGAGGTCATATACTGTAGATATAGAAATAATTGAAATGTAGCTTAGAAAACAGCCTGTTGAATCTTGGCAAATTATTGGAAAATGTACTTTGAAAATGTAATTTGACTGTTTTGAAGCAATCAACCTTGACAAACATGAGA